GCTTTAGCCCAGACCGTATTTTTACACATTACCGTATTCGATAACACTAGTTGGTCCGCGAAAAGACCACGGTCTAGACGAAGTTGAAAGTCCAGTTTAAACTTACAGAATTAAAGGAGCTGGGGCAATGGCTTAGCTAAGACACTGCATTAAGTCTCCAAGCAGTCCACTTACCCAACTTCAGCGTCTGAACTTTATACTTACAGCTGTGGTGCAGAAGTAAGACGGTAAACAGCGCGGATTGCCTAAGTGTCACTGAAAGAATCAGGGGAAAAGTTCAAGTTTATCTTGTTTCTTTAGGATTCGGAGTTAATATGATCTTTAGCTGCACATAATGTCACACTAACAAAATTGGGAAATGAAATTTGCTTTTGTGCGGAATATCCATCAGGCAATGAGAACTGCCAACCAGAGCCCGGCACAGATCGTATGGAAGCAGGCTGGACTTCGTTTTGGAGCAAAAAACAAGGGGGATTTCATTTTTGACTAGTCGGGGCCGAGCACAAAGAATAAGCGCCATTTAGTCGAACACAAGCTTTTCGGACAGGTTATCACACGATTGACATGCTCTATCGTGTATGACGAAAGTGCACCCGATTTGAAAGCAAGGCAAAAATAAACGAATTGCTTGTTTACAGCGCACACAGAATCATATGACACCAAAATTGAACTGTATACTTAGAAAATTATTTGCGGAATGACTGTGTAAAAAGATTTGGAAACTTATGGGAAGTAATATTTTTTCAAAATTAGTCCGTCTCCAGACGGCTATCAGACTATCTGAGATCGAGCATATATAGATCGTCACTTCACATAAGTTTCCGGTCTTTTTAGCATAGACGGATGCCCCGGTCAAGAACGTATCCCTGAGCATAAAAACATTGTCATATCACCCCCTGTCCGTCGTTTTTTATCCTCTTTTTTCCGAAAATCGCCCTATTAGATATCGCGCCCCAGCGTCAACTTTTCTGCATCTTCGACTTTTGAATTTACATTTTCAGTTCTAGCTTTTTTTAGATATTTTGATGACTTCTTCCATTCTTTTTTCTTGTTCTTCTTCTTCCTTCAACTCGTAATCTATTTTGATCGTTCTGTGACCATGTGGGGCTCTATGAAGCAAAATTCTGTGGATTTTGTGGTTTTTCTTTGAGAGTTTGACCTGAAATCGCGATATTCTCAGCTCGCAGCAGGCAAATGGTTTTGTTAAGAACTAAGTGAGTCGCAGGGATCCACCAACATCGGAGGGGGGGGGGGGGGTAGAGCAAGGGTCAAAGGGGACTTCGTAAAATTTTCGAAAGTCATGGGGGACTTCGTTTTCAAAAAGCCTAGAAAAACGGACTCGTTCCGGGCCCTGCTGCCAATTCCCACTTTTCCACAAACAAATACCTGGTACAATTACCCGCTTTAGCTTCAAGTTTGAGCCTTTGCCGCTTTCCACCGTTTGGCTTCTTCGCTTCACTTTCGCCACTTCTGTTCTCCACATTGCTTCCTATGATGGAAAGCCGGCTCAGCATGGTCTTAATAACGCTGGCGGCTGCTCGGCCAAAGACAAAAACACTGTGGCAAGGCCACGCCCGCACCTCTCACCGTATCTTCGGCTGCACTCGTCGATTCTTCTACGTTTCGCTTACTTTGCTGGCCAGCTTTTCACACTTGAATGAATGAACTCTTGGGACAAATGCACTCTCGGTGGCGCGGGTGCACTACTTCGATCTCGTCCCACTTACGGCTATTTTTCCCGCGTTGCTTAGCCCATCGCATCCTTTTTACACGGGTTTCTTCCACTTCTGAATTCTCCTCATCTCATTGTTACAGAATTATTCTTTCCCTTTTTCATCTCCACCTTAGAGGGAAAGTGTCCGCAACACACGCAACGCGCGATTTTTTTTTCTCTGTCCAACATTTCAATAGAGGCTGTGTTGTTCGTGAGAAAATTGAAATTAGAGTCTGAATACACACGCAGATGAATGTACTTTGTTATGCAATTATGATTATTATTGCCGTCGAAGCGAACAAGCTCAAGTTTTAGCCAGAAAAATGGCTCGCACACGCCTCAAAATATCGAATTTGTCTAGCTTCATGCTGTCTAACGTCAATTCAAAAAAAAAGAAAATTTTTGCTCTCATTTAAGAGGACAACGCTTGGTTTTGCTATGTCAACATTTTGGAAAGTCGATGTGTTAAATTTGTTTTACTAGAAAATCACTGGAAGCTCTCACAATTCTTTATCATCCTATACCCATACGTAAATCTATCATCGATTCACGCATTGTTGGTCTAAAGTGCATTGACGTTCATATGATGTCACAAATCCATTTTCGAATAATAAACAAATCGTGGATATACAGCTTTGTGGTCACCTGAACTGGACTCTTTTTCCACTTGGTTCTTTATAGAATTGGTCTCCTTCTTTTCAACCTCTTTCAATCATCTCCTTCCTTTCTTCAAAACTAGCTCCATCAGACACATATCCTTGCTCACCTTTTGTGTTATAATCACAACGTCAAAAGCTGAATAAGGCTCAAGTTTACGCTCAGAATAACTTGCCATTTTTATTCATTGGAATAACCCAAAGCCGATTCTTAACTGAATGTATGTGAGTGTTCTGTTTGGAAAGGTAGCATCTCAGTAAACTAGGTCATAAAGAAGTTTTGCTACACTAGAACTGAAACATCTCCATAACTTTCATAAAAGGCTTCCCCCATTTTCAGTTTACATAGAGGTGCAAGATTACATAGTCAGACAATAAAAATCCAGATTTTGAAATTTTTCAGTTTGCGATGAATTTCATCAGACTTCTGCCTTACTCTATAGAAGGGCTAAAGGGAAATGTATAAAAGCATAGGGGCTCGCTAAAATCCATAAAAAGTCTAGAATATGAGAAAAGAGTTTTATGAAAATGAGAACAGGATGAGGTTGAATGCCGTTACAAAACTGAAATGTTGAAAATGGATAGACCTATTTTTTTCGCATATTTAAAAGCATGTTAGCCTGAGTTTCCAAAGTTCGAGGAAAGTGAAACACAATTGATAAGAAGAAAGATAGTTTTAGTTTTACCCCATTTCGTCCCTTTCCTTGGCCGAAGTTTTGAAATCTAGACCCTCTCCGGGACTCATCACTAAGGAGAGAGGTTTTGATATGTTTTGATTTGATCTAATGACTTTCCGATTTGCAAATGCATAGCATTGAGCACCTTCTACCTTAATGAAATAGATCCGAACATTGTATATATGTATACAATGCTCTCATTAGTGCCTGCTCGCTGTAATTGTTGTTTTCACTGATTCACTCCGAGCTCTCAACCGCATTTGATTCATAAGAGTTGGCTACTGCTTCTCCGAGGTGCTCAGTAATAGAATGACACCATTCAAGCAAATACTCATTCACTCATGAATGATGGTAAACAAAAACGTCTACGAATGTTTTTTGTTTGTTTTTGCAGATGCTCACGTCTTCAAGCTGGAGATGCCTTCGAAGGCTTGTTTTTGCGCATTTTCATTTAGGATTATTCCTAGTTAACTAGAATTGCAATAAACTCGATGCCATAAAATGGAAGCGAATGATATGGCTCACAGTTTCAGCAATTAGTCCCAATGCAATGAAATAATGAAGAAGATAATTAGCAGACTTTCCTTTCTGAAGTTTTCTCCAAAACAAATAAACAGGTTTCTTCGTTTGGTTGAATTTCACCTGCATTTCACGGACAGGCTCAAAATGAGTGTGTTGCGGAGCGGGTGGCTTGTGAATGAATATTAAATTTGAGTAGGAAGGATAATGTCAAAACACTCTAATAGCCATCTCGCCTCATTTTGCAATTTATCGATCCATGGCTGTGCAAATTTAATCATGAGTAAATCATATGTGTGAATAAAGTCCATTTGTACCGTACAAAACAAAGTCTACTCCAGCTATTACCTTGGCTAAAAAGTCAGGTTCGTTTTTTTGTGCAAATCTCCACAAACATTTTTCTTGTTGTTTTTATCTATTTTTTGAGGGAGAGCAGCTAGAGTCTTCTATATCACATATCAACTCCTTAGAACTTTCTACACTAAGAAATAGTTATGCCCAGTATGGCGGTTCTTTGAATATCTAAGCTTTGTTTTCAAGCTATAAAGGATGCAGAGATGAGTAACTTGTATTCAGATACAATTGAGTTTTGTATATTTAGCGAATATCAACAAAAATTTTGATATGCTATTCTGAAAGTCTTTGATAAAAAAACGAATTTTTCCCACATTTGCGCACAATGAGAAAATAGCTTCTTACTTTTTAGCGCTTTTTCGATAGGAAATGATTTCGATTTACCTCACTGGAATGCTCTTTCAGCGAATCAAAACTGGACAAAAATTTGTCTGCAGCCTTTATAGGAGCGCAAAGGCGATTGAAATTATACTAACCTGATATCTAGGTGCTTGGAAGTCAATTTCATTAACAAAGCAGATTATCTTCTTCGGTAATATGTTAGTGAAATGACACTTGGCACATTATGAGGAAGCCTTGAAGGTATATGAAAAGCCTTAAAGGTATATGAAAAGTATACCTTTAAGGCTTTTAAGGCTCTTGGACTGCCTCATTCGATTAAGATGACTTGTAATTCCTCCCCATATACCTCCTTGACAAATCGCATCCAGTTTCGGCGCATTTCCTCTCCAATAAATCACGCTGCCTTATTTGGGATAAAAAAGCTCTGAATCGAGTGCATTGAGTACTTCCAATTGTGTTCGGTGTGTATTTTGTCATCGTTGCTGGCTGGGATTGACTGGGCATGTCCCTATCGATCTGAGGCGCGCTTTCTCCGGGACTAAAGAGGGAGAGCTGCTTCTCGGAGGATCCTCACCTGCACTCGCCATGCTTCTGCTTCCACTTTTAAAAACCTCAGATTTTCACAAAAATCACGTCATTTTCGCCTTTTTGTGTGTTGACACAATCGAATTTTCTCTCATTGCTATTCCATTAATGCTTTCGTGAATCCCAGGTCTCCAACCCCATTAAACAAACTCGCGATTCTTTCAGTAGTGGCGCCATGGTGCGCGTCCACGACTCGGCCGAGGAAGATGCTCCCGAAGAAGAACTCACCAAGGAGTTTGCTCCCAAGGATATGCCAATGCAAACCGAACCACCTTCGACTACTTCGACTACTCCCGCAGCTCCGTAAGCGAAAATTTTTTTATGTAATCACATAGTTTTCCGAGAAGACACTTGGTCCTTTTGTTATGAGATGTGTATTTTGGATGTATCTTTGAGTGTTGTTTTCAAAAATGCTTTCATTATCTGCTGCGCTATTCTCCGGAAGAAGTTAGCAACATTCTTAGACTGAAAAACTAGCAATTGTTTGAATGACAAACATCACGGATGTCGATGGCATAATCGCTACACAAAAAAATAAAACCGAGGAAAAAATGTCACTTCAAACCAAGATAGAATGTCCCACATTTATCAAAAACGTTTCGCTCCGAGAAAGCGAAAATATTGGTGACTTTAACCAAAATCGACTTTGGAAATCAGCCCGAAAGATTCTCAAACCCGTCTGAAGTGTCGCGCAGCACATACTGGTCATGAAAATGAAAATGGATTTCAAGACTTTTGAATATTATAAACAACGGACATGGTCATCAAGTTTTCCTCCATTATTAGATCTTAGCTCTCCTTAGGTAGACTTCCTGGGTGTACACTCAGCTAAGATTTCCTAGCAATCAATCACATTCTCATGCTTGGCTTGCACTTCCTGTACTTGGCTGAGGAAGCGAAAAAACGAGAATGCTTGGCCCGAGCAAATATTTTTCTTCAGCTTCTAGTCATCAAGAGAATGCTAGAAAAAACTTTTTGCATTGCGATGAGAGTAGATCAAAGAAACTACGCTGAAAATTTTTGTCCAAAGGCAATTTCGGCAAGTTGACACTAATGCAATTTTTCTTCTTGTAAAACGATATCTAAATCTTACATTAGACTCAGTTATTTGCCAAGGACCCAGTAGTTTTAGGAGCTTTGTAAATAGCTGGGCGGCAATCTAAATTAATGCTTTTTTTTTGCTCAAGTTGATCCATCTTCTTCATTTTTTCTCGTTTTTTTTCTGAGACTTGCAAGGCTGAAGCTGACTGCTATCCTGCTATTCCAAAACTTGCTTCTCTCACATCAAGGCTTTCCCCTTTCAAGACAAAACTCATAAGAGCAGAATCTCTTTTCTTCAACAGGAAATTTGGCTTTGATGTCAGCGTTAAAGCTCAGAAATCCACCTAAAAGCCTGCTCATAAACGTCATAGGATCCTATGTGAATGATATCGTTGACGCTTTCAAGCTCTAGCACGATGTGGAAAAAATTCGTCAAGCACCTCGTTTTGCTAGCAGAAACGTCTGCGTCGATGAATGTATGAGAAAACGAGAGCGAGGGAGCGACGATGAAATATTCATCTCAAGCTCATTCACCATTTATGGTTTTTTAGTTGCTAACAAATACAATAAAACTGATTTTCTAGTATTCTAGACTAATACACTTGAAGATTTTAATCTGACTGATCAAAATCCAAAAGCAAGCAAATTAGCACGAGGTTGCTTTGGAAGTGTAACTGAGTCTACTTTTACAATCTGAGCATGATCAAAGTTCCAAAAAATCCAAAATACTTAGAGTGTATAGGGTGTACATTCAGCACAATTTCAATTTAGTCTGTTTTAATGTTGATAAGATAAAGTAAAGTAAATAAAATTAGAATGATCATGTTCAAAATGAAATCTGTACCAGAAGTAAAGATATTATTAAAAGACTTGTGTGAACACTAAATATCATTATTCCGTTTTGTTTCTTCCCTTAGACGCAGTTTGAAATGAGTTGTAGGTCTCCTCAGTAAGGAAGGAAAGAAGAAAAATAATATTATAGAAAATTTCATTCCTATCGAGCTAAAGCGAAATTAACCTCCCATTTCAATATACTTCCTTTTCAGGACGACAACCAAAGAATCGCTAAAGGATGTAGTGGTGAATAAAGTGGTGAACAAAGTGATCGACGTTAAAGACGTCGTCAAAGCCAAAGTGATGAAAGAGACAGGAAGTGAGTCATTATTTCTTTTGTTTCTCTTTCCATTAGATATTACGAAGCAATTTCTTCCATACTAGACAATGAGAGGATTCCGCAATCTCTTTTTTGAGGCATTCATGACTTAATCCGTTCAGAAAAACGCTTTTTCTGAATAAATCTCGCGTTGCCATGGTATTCCTTCTATGGAGATAACCTCTTTAGTGTTTTGCGGAGTGTGTAAGACAGATTAAGGTTTTTGCAACTTTTCCGTGAAAGAACAAAGCAATATCTTGATTGAACAAACTGTCTCTAATGCTTCTTTGTCCCCCCCCCCCCCCCTCCCCCCCCCTCTCTCCCCTCCCTAGAATAGACGCAGTGAGTGACCTACTGTGTTATGGTATCGTGCAAATGTCTTAACCTCGCTGAATGTTGAAAAAGATTTTGAATTTTGTGATATTTCAAAGTAGACCTGTAAAAATTTGGTTTTCACCGCGACACCTCTTTTTCGTCGGATTTTGTGATCAATAACTAAAGTCAGAAAGCATCCAAATTTTTCCTCAATAGTTGACCTTCTTTCATATAAAGAATTTCTGTGTCCTGTTGCCCATCCCCCCCCCCTTCCGTCCAACGAAAAAACTTCAAAGACCTCCACGGTGAATCTGTGGAGCAAATTAGTTGCATAAAAATGTCAGTTACGATACATTGACTTGTCTTCAATAAAAGTCCACCGCCTAAGCATGCAAAATCTGGGGGTTCTTAAATTGCACCCTACGTTTTGAAAGATTCTGACCCAAAACAGTTGAGCAGTTTCTTTGACCAGTCATTCGTGTAATATGTGCGATTGCACACAACATGCGCAAGCCCGTTGAATGTTTGATGTTGTTGGTTATTTTGCCTAAATCTCTTGAGCCTTAAGCTTCCCCCTGATTCTGACAGAACAATCCATTAAAAAAACTTCAAAAAACTACATGTATATTTGACAAGCGCATGGTCAACAAGTCCCTTTTTTGAGCATTCCGCATTTTGTGTGCAACCGCACATATCACGCTACCGAACGACCTAATGCTACATGTTAGAAGCGTGTGCTTATGTGGTTTCTTGCCTCAAGGCTATCTGCTCAAATTTGGCACCTAAAGCAAGCTAACGTTGCATTCCGCATTTTGAAACGAATAGCCAGTCCTGTCACTTCCTCATCCGCTTCCGTTAACTACTGCTTCCTCATTACATATTCATTTGCATTTAGCGAATGAGAAAAAAGGATTGTGGGAAAAACGCTGGCACATATTTGTTTACCATAATTACTCGCATAACAAAACCCAATTAGCATTAAGTTATGTAAACTGAAACCAAGTTTTCCATATGCGTCTCCTCCATGCATGAACCTTGGAGTAAAATTGTTGTGATAGTCTGAACTTTCGCATTCAAAACGGCACAAATATTACAACAAGTCCTTATTAGATACTCGACGATTAATATTGCACATTTATTTTTTGTCCAAAGTTTTCCTGTGATTCATATTATCCATGAGAGAGGAAATGCCGTCTTTTGCATTAAGGCTGTAATGAACGCATTGTCAGAATTTTGTGAAAGTAAAATCTATTTATTTATTTATTTATTACGCCAATGTGTGTAGGGCGGAGATGGGAGGGGGGGGGGGGGACATAAAATTAGTTGTTGATCAAGGTTTACATTGTACACGCAAGGTACGCACACAACACAGAAGTGTTTTTATTTGAAATGGCCTTTCCAAAGAAGTTTCATTCAATTTGGGGAGTATCATGATTTCAGATCTGTCTTCAGTAACCGAAGCCAGTTATGAGCGGGTTTTGGGCCCAGAGAAGGCTCTACTGAAACCAATTCATACAGGACCACTCAAATGGGTTAATGTTGGATATCAGAGCACCTTATGTAATTTAATGCTCTACCTGAGTGCTGGTAGAACAGTAACCATTGATTATCCCTAGATTTTTGTTTCGTTTTCCTCTGAAAAGGAAACTCCTAATACGGCTCCCAAGAGCGCACAGCAGATATCAAAGACATATCTGGAATCAGCGTTGTGCCTTCAAAATTTTGGTGCAGGTCTCATCAAAGACCACTTTAGCCAAGTTTTTCTTTGTTAGTGAGATTCGTTTTAATCTGCGATTGATATATTACGCCTAATTTACAATTAAGAAAGCTTATGAGCATTGGATTACGAGTAATAACCACTGATCACAATTTTTTTCCTTCGCTACCAGCTACTTTGGGCATGATGCTTGATTTCTTTATTCAAGTGCAAGTTGCCTATGGGAAATATGTCTCTTTCACTGTCGATAGGTGGTTTTTCTCCCAGTTGAGCAAATGCTCCTCGAATGACTCTATATCTCTCACTTTCTACGCTTGTCAAGCTCCAAATGGGAATTCTGAAAAATGAGCTTTTCTTGGTTTCGTGCTAATTTACGTAGCGATTTGCAGTGCCGGAATGGGCGTTCGTCTTCCTTGGAATTATCGCCATCATTGTCGTCTTACTGATCGCATATTTAATTATCCGGAAATTGTTCGGCAAGAAACGGCATGGAGAAAAGAAAGGCAAAGGCTTCAAGGGACTGTTCAGTAAGGGAGGAGACCTCGTCGCTGGAAAGGATGTGATGGGTGACGTGAGTGACGAGCGAATTGTCTAAAAAGTATCTATGGAAAGGGTCAAGCGACTTTTTTAGATGCAGCAAGACATGGAAGAGCTCGAGAAAAACATGGAAGAAAATGAAAAAGCACAGGCAGAGGAAAAAGAAGAGATAAAATTGGGCAGGATACAGTACAAACTTGACTATGATTTCCAACAAGGACAAGTATGCATTCTTAAGAAAATGTTTTACCATCAACCAAATGAGCATAAAATTCATATTTAGCTCACGGTTACCGTAATCCAAGCAGAAGACTTGCCTGGAATGGACATGAGCGGAACGTCTGACCCATACGTCAAGTTGTACCTATTGCCTGAAAAGAAGAAAAAGGTGGAGACGAAAGTTCACAGAAAAACTCTGAACCCTGTGTTTAACGAGACGTTTATATTCAAAGTGAGTTAATACATTAGCAGTCTTTTTTCCTTCGCACTTCGGTGGCTTGAACTTTGCTTTAGACTTCAATATGTAGATCTCGTATTGTCATTTATTTCTCGTTATAGGTCGCCTTCAATGAAATCACGTCCAAGACACTGGTATTCGCAATTTTTGACTTTGATCGCTTCAGCAAGCACGACCAGATTGGCCAGGTAGGTCTTTGTATCTTCTCATAATTCCCAAAAGTACATGAGAGTAGCTTCTCCTTTGCAAGCGTTAAAATGCCGATATGGTATAATAAGAAAAAATTTGATCTCATATTCGGAAATAAAAAGTTATGTAACAAGCCCGAGATGATAATCTGGATATCTTCTTCTTTTCTATTTTATTTTCGATGTATGCTTGTGGAAAGCTCATGCAAACCAATCACTGTCAATATGAGAGATTGCCATAAAAAAACTCTTTTTCCCATCTTGTTTATATTCTATCAAAAACTAAGAAACAGCGACTTCCCTAAAAATTTCGGAATACACAGAAACATTTTTCGAATGAAGGGCTATAAAAAGTGCACCAGCTTCTTGCGTGCAACTTTGAAAATGAAAGGCGCGGCGTCACCTAAGCCAGAAGTTTTCGCAAAGCTTATCTGCATTTTCAAGAGGAATCATGCGAGATTTCATTTATTTAAGAAAATAAGCATTAGAGTCAAGTAACATCTTTTTTGAAGTTGTATAACGTCATTTTTCGACCAGACCCTTGAACCTTTCTCCATGGTTTGGCCTCGGAAATCTTCCATCTAGAAGCTTTATTGTTACATTTGCAGGTCCTCATTCCACTTGGAAAAATCGACCTTGGGCAAGTTATCGAGAAATGGGAGGACATCGCCCCGCCACCAGATGACAAGGAAGCTGTAGGTTTTTTGATATCTCCTCTCTCCTAGTCGATATTCACCAGTTTTTGTCCTTCCACATGGCCGCACGCTCATTGTCGCCGTTGGCCCCAGAAAATTCAATTTTCAGGAGAAAGCCCTCGGGGATATCTGCTTTTCGCTGCGATACGTGCCCACTGCCGGAAAATTGACGGTGGTGATTCTCGAGGCCAAAAATCTCAAGAAAATGGATGTTGGTGGTCTGTCAGGTAGGGGATTGAAAGTGTTGACAATAATCTGAATAAAGAAGTATGAATTGACACGCTAGCGTTGCTTTACCAGTGTCCAATTTTCTTTGTACGGGGGAAGGAGGGGGTAGGGGGGGGGGGAGGGGAGGGAGAAGTGCGTTCTCTATATCCTGTCCCTTGCAAAGCTAACTTTTTTTATGAACTTTACCAGTGATCCAATAAGTGACTAGTAAAACATGCTCATTGGTAGCGAATCTTATGTACAAATTTCCTGAGATTACGCGACCCAATGCGAAAGAAAGCCTTTTATCTCTTCCCGCTTCTCAGCTTTACAAGCCACGGGTCCGCTAGTACCGCTAATAATGCTTTAGCTTCAATGCTTACGTGAAAATTCTCCGAAAAATAGTTTTTTGACCCGGTTTTTGGGTTCGACGACAAGCGGCCAATCAAAATTATATTCAACTCAGTACAAAATGCTCTTTCACGGCGCGTGATATGCTCTACCTTTGCTAGCTTTGTTTCCTCATAAAGCACTGGTAAACATATAAAAAAAGATTTCATTACTTTGCAGCCCAGAGATAACACATCACTTCTGGCCTAATTTGCACTCTTCATCTAACGCTTTTGCAGACCCTTATGTGAAGATTGTACTCATGCAAGGAGGGAAACGGCTGAAGAAGAAGAAAACTTCCATCAAAAAATGCACACTCAATCCCTACTATAACGAGTCGTTCTCATTTGAAGTTCCATTCGAACAAATTCAGGTCAGCCTTAGCTTTCATTTCATAAAATCTTATGATCAAATGCGCAATTGTTTCCCAAAGCTTTACTGCTTGATCGTATTTATTGCAAGCATTATTTAATGAATTCAAATAATGCTTTTTAGAGAAACATTTCTTTTTTTCTCAGAGTTAGCCAGTGATACAACAAATCACACTGGCCATATAGAAATGTAAGAGAATTTAATGAAAATTTTCCTAGTCAATTCAATTAGTGAACTTCGATATGCTATCCTTGCGTACACTACAACTTAAAAAGTTTACAATCATAGTTAATGAATTCATAACAACTCATCATTTTCCCTTTATTTGATTGCTTTGCATATTTATATCACTTTCGGAATCGTTGTCGCTAACATTAAAAACATACGCTATTGAATCAAAATCACTCTCCACCAACAAATGAGGCAGCAGGCTCAAATGACTCAAAAAATGATGCTTGTACCAAAAAATGATCAAAATTTCCCCAACATATGAAAGAAAGGTTGTATCAATATCCCCAAAAAAAGCTTAAATCCCGAAAGCGGAGCATTGCCAAAACCCATAGTTTGCGCCACTTACTTTTTTGTAGAAATGCCATCAAGCGCTAAAAATCTGCAATCAAGGGAAAGACAAACAAATTTGAGCAGCGCAGACTGTTTTAATTGTCATTCTGGCTGCTTCCAATACTTTCTGATGTCTACACTTGCTTCTCAAAAACAGGATTTTGCATTTGCAGCCAGGGACTGGTAAGCATGTAGCCTAACACTTTTGTTGGACATCGTAAAAACGAGTCATTCAAGGAGAGATGTGTTAATGGTGAAACTAATACTTATTTCGGTGCCTTATTTCGTAAAACCGGTTTAATTCAAGATTCCGTGATTCAGTGCTGCATTTAATCCATGAATAGTGGGAGGAAGTCCTTCCTATAAACTCCAGAATTTCGAATAATTTGATCGCAGCAGCAAAATCTTTCTCGTACAACTGCCTGCATTTAAGCTGCTTTTGTTTTCTGACATTCAGTTTCTTTCGCAGTGAAAAATTAATACTAAGTGTCGAAATTAATCTTACACAATATGTTTTGTCCATTATCATACCAGCACGATTTTTTGCCTTTTATAACCCTCATGGTTTTTATTTGCAGAAAGTTTCACTGATGATTACCGTAATGGATTACGATAAGCTTGGCTCGAACGACGCTATTGGACGATGCCTCCTTGGATGCAATGCCAGTGGAGCAGAATTGAGGTAGGAAGCTACGTAAAGCTCTTTCCAGTGTATTAGCCAACTTTATCAACTTAACTAAATTACTTCCATCCTGCAATTCTCACGCTAATTTGTTGTATTAAATGGAGCTTCCGCATATTCTGTTTGTTTATTTTTTATTTTTCAGACAATGTGTCTTAAAGAATATATTGTCTGCTCCATGACGAAGGTGGTCGCCCAAATAGGTTGAAAGCATGCAAGGCTGACGCGCGCGCGGCGTGAACTATGGGTCGCCGAAAGCGGGGGAACTAGGCGACATCAGACATATTGCGAGTACCCGCGGCCCCTAACGCTGTCTTTTGGCGGTGCGCGCACTACAGAGGCAGCGTCCGGGCAAAATTTCGAACAAATTTTTTTGCGCTTACCTGAGCTTATTGTTCCCGCTAATCCGAAAATGCAGCTTGCAGACTATGAAAATGTCGAAAACGAGCTGTTAGAGAAGTCGCTGATTTTGAATATGGGCGCTTGACGCGAGGTTAAGATGCAGAGTCGTGGTGGGACCCTACGACTTGGTTGTGTGCGACATACGTACTCTGGCTATCGATTCAAGGGGCGGGCAGGTCGCCGGGGTGTTCCGGTTGCCACTTCTGAAACGTTTTCTCGCTTCAAAAGCAAAGTGGCGCATACCACTTGGATAAGAGCTTTATCAGGGTGGGAGCCCCTTGGAGCCCCTTATGCCAGAATTTCATATTTGCCTGCACGCTGCCTTTTATTTCTTAGATCACCATCCGAGGCCATACGCTTATTTGCTTGGTCACCAGTGGGTTAATGTTATCGCGAGGGAAAGGCCGCTGGCTCTAAATGTTTTATCGGAACACCCGCGATCGAGAAAAAACGGGCGAGCCCGGGGCGTCACGGGACGCTTTGCATAATTATTCCCGGGCAGACCTCGGCCCTTTCAGGCCACGGCCCTATATCACTCTAGGAAGCCGCGGGCCTTGCCAAGCGCCACAATTATTACGCTGTGGGGGAAAAGTTACTCGCGTGAGATACACCGCTGCAACAGGGACTTCCAACCTTTGCGGCGTTATTACCGTAACTCGTTCTCCTATCCTACTAACAGGGGAGTCAATTTCTTGATCTTTGATAATGTCTCGAATGACTTGGGAGCACTTGGTCTTGGAGAGTTTGTCGGGCACTTTGGCTAGTATTAGATACCACGATAAATTCTGTTGTATATCGTGGACGGGTATTCAAAAATTATAAAATTCAAAACTGGAATACATGAACCATTGCTCTAATCACGGGGGGGGGGGGGGGTTCGGGCCACCCGCGAGCATTGTCGGGCCGCTCATAGGATACTCATCGCCGCGCTCTTGGGATGGGCGTGGCGTCGTCCGGATAGTCGGCGGGTGCTTGTCATATTGTCTGAGGACAAATCACGCAGCTCCACATATCGCAGACGTTAGGGATTAGTACCTGCACGGGGTGGAGCCGGCGACGTATAGTCTCCTAGCCCTCTGAACTGTACCGATCTTGCAGTCATGGTCATGAGCACAGGTAGCTTTCTACGTAGATGTTAACTTTGAAAGGAAGTTTTGATCAAACAGATAGAAACTTTCTGCACGCAAGAACTCGCTTGAAAAGCTGTTAGTGAAAACCTCTCCCAAATTTTCATGGCTCTACCTTTTTATTTGCAGCTTCAAAAGAAGGTGGGCTCCTTTTTGAGAGCACTCTCACTTTGTCGTTTATCACCATTGCTTGCTTTTTTGTATTGTATTAGAGTGGAAAGAAAAGAATGTCACTTTTCATTTCCTCGTCATAGCATTGCAACAAGGCTGAATCTCGGAAAGATGTATGAAGTACCATTCGCAAGAGCAGAGCAAGCTCTACGAAGTGGCATTACTATTTTTGCATAAAGTTTGATCCATTCGAAGTTCGAACACGGAGACTAAAAAGTTTCAAATGACTGAAAAAACTAAAAAAACTCACTAAAACTAAAATTCTCTCCGTTCAAAAAATTTCTGCGAACCCCCATTGCTCACGCACATACATCCCCCATCGAACATTCATGTGCGCAATTACTGTAATTCTTTCATCAATAATTGAAAAATCAAAAATTTTCATGCTTTTGCCGAAGTTATGCTAGGCAGTCTTCGCGTTCGCGTGAGTAATCGTGAGCATCCACAAGAGTGAGTTCTTAAGAAATATCGAATTTAACTTTCTTCTTCTGTTCTATGAATTGAATTCGATATTCATCGAATCGAAATCTAACTCTTCTAGAAAGCTGAAAATCACGGTTGCACTTCCCAAGCTAAGCAGTATAGAATAACTTACGCGGAAATTGCCTAGCATCACATTGGCAGTAGCATAGCATCGCCTTGGCAATTACTTACGCGGGAATTGCCTAGCATCACATGGCAGTAGCATGAAAATTGTCAATTTTCGATTTCTAAGCAAAGAATAATTACACCAACTGCGCACAGGAACGTTTGATGAAGGATGTTTGTCCGTGAGCAAGTTGGGGGTCCGTAGATATTTTTTGAACGAAGATACGAGTTTTCTTGATTTTCCAGACATTTGAAACTTTTTAGATTCCATCTTTACTTCACGTGGATATAACTTGGTGCGATAGCAGTACTTTTGTAGACTTGCTTTGCTCTATCAAATAATGTGCCTTACACGTTTATGATATTTGAACTGTTGCGATGCTATGGCGAGGAAATAAAACGAGACATTCTTTTCTTTACAACTCAATGGCTGGAAGCAAACATATAACATGACATTCGGTGGAACTTAAGGCCTGGCTCTTCTTACTTATCTCAGCCGTTTTCATAAAAGTCAAAGTCACTTTCAGGCACTGGATGGATATGTTAGCTTCACCACGACGGCCTATCGCACAATGGCACACGCTAGGTCCAGTTGAGGAAGAGGGAGGTGACAAGGACAAGAAGTAGCCTTGCTCTGGCCCTCCTTCAGCCTCTAACACTTCCCAAACCTCCTTCGCCTTCTAAAAGATGGATGTCCCCGAGTGATTTCTTGCGTTGTAAATCGGGTTTCCACCAATCATTCCGATTTTTGCTTTCGCAAGCGACAGTGTTCTCTTTTCATTGTTCACAGAGATCTGGCAGATTATATTGACAATTGTACTCAACATTCCGCGCTTCGTACACCCGTGTATGTCATGTTTTCTTCTCATTGTTAATCTATTGTATTTATTATATTTCGTGAGCGTTGTGCCAACAAATGCAGCGTCCGATACAAGCGGTGAAAATACTTAAACGTTTGTCATCTTCTGTTGGACGTCAGTATTGTATAGCTTGAACGCATAATTATAGATTCGGTCTAGTTCACTCCTACCAAGTGTGTTCCGTCGTGAGTAGCTGTGAAAAGTCGAGCTTCTCTATAAATAATTCGATCATGTGTACCATGGAAAGTTTCTCTGATTACCGAGAAACCTTTCAAACAGAGAGACAAACTCAGATGTCTCTCATAACGAATGTTTAAGCGAATAAATTCAACATTGAAAGAACGAAGTTCAATTCAATTTTCTACTCAGTCCAATATCGGAGCACCAAAGACAGTTTGAGGTTCTATATTATCACATTAGTTGTCATTACTTTGCTATGTTTTGTAATTGTCATTTTTTGTCTTTTTCCTTTGTCAGTACTAAATTTTACTAAAATCATGTCATGTACTACGCAAGATCAGTGTACCATAATAAGTAAATCAACTCATTGAAAATGGGATAAAAGTTGGAAATCCTCTCGACCACACTCTCATAGTTTAAAATTTGTTGGACGCGAAAATTCATTGATATCTCCTTACTATCTGGAGTATGCACTGCATCACTATCATCTACAGCAGCTTCTCACAGGGGAAGGATACTTGGATGCCAGAGCCAATCATAATGATTTGTATACCAAAAAATGCGCTTTTGAATACTGGTTCGTAGACTGTCTTTCATATCTGCGAAACGATAAGTTGAATGGAGTTATGATTTTTTTCATTAAAAAAATTGCGTTCCTGCGGAGGGTCAAAATCATCAATAAAAAAATTTTCTTTTTTTTTCCAAATGCTGAGTATGATCCAGATAGTCTAAATAAATATTACTACGTCTAAAATTTTCTTCAGTAGCATCAAACGGTAGACTAGATCAAATCTGGTGATTTTTACTATCCAAAAGTAGCCTAAATTTTCAAGGAAAAAAGTTCATAACTTTCTTCAAAAGATCGTTTCGCAGATTTCGAGCACAGATTCAGAATCTGCATTCGAAGGCGCATTTTTTGGTATACAAATCATCAGGAATGGCCGCGGCATCCAACTATCCTTCCCTTGTCAGACAGTCGATGGGATACCTCCGGAGCAGAAGTGGCAGGGTCGCGGGCTTTCCCCAGCGGAGGATTGACTTCGCGCTCCGGAGCCCTGCCATTTCACGCATTTTTGTGCTCCGGGGCTCTCCCAAAAGTGGCGCACCTCCGGAGCAGAGATTTGCGCGTCGCGGAGATTTGTGACGTCACCGTGACGTCACCGTGAATGAATGGGACCCCTCTCCGCGACGCGCAAATCTCTGCTCCGGAGGTGCGCCACCTTTGGGAGAGCCCCGGAGCACAAAAATGCGTGAAAAGGCAGGGCTCCGGAGCGCGAAGTGGCATATGTTTGTAAACAAATAGACTCGCGCAATATGCCCGCCGGAGGTATCCCTTCGACTGTCTGAGTTAGTAAAGCAATTACTACTAGCAAGGGAAGGAAACTAACTTAGATTCGCCTTTTGAGATGAGACCAGGGCCCGGCACAGATCGTCTAGAAGCAAGCTGGACTTCGTTTTTGGAGCAAAAAGCAAAGGAGATATCGTTTTTGACGATTCGGGGCCCAGCACCAAGAATAAGCGCCATTTAGTCGAATACAAGCTCTTCAGACAGGTTATCACACGATTGACATGCTCTATCGTGTATGGCGAAAAGTGCGCGCAATTTGAAAGCAAGGCTAAAATAAACAAATTGCTTGTTTACAGTGCACACAAAGTCATATGACACCAAAATTGTACTGTATACATTAAAAATTATTTGCAAAAGAATTATGTAAAAAGGTTTGAAAACTTATGTGAAGTAATACGTTTTCCAAAATTAGATCGTCTCCAGACGGCCACCAGACGATCTGAGATCGTCTGGAGCATATATTTCTGTCACTTCACATAAGTTTTGGATTTTTCTATCATGGACGGATTCCCCGGTCAAAATTCTACCCCTGAGCATGAAAACATTTTCATATCATTGCCTTTCCTTTGTTTTTTGCCTTCATTTTCTCATATATCGCTTTGTAAAATATCGCGCTCCAATCCCAAACTCTTGTGCATGCGTAATCAGCTCCAATTTGGATTTTCACTCTTATCCTACGTTTTATCTTTCAGACTAGTAACTATTTCTTGTTTTCATCTTCTCCTAAGCAAATAGGTCAAAGGGGACTTCGTAAAACTTCCGAAAATCATGGAAGACTTCGTTTTCAGAAACGCCAGAAACCGACTCGTGCCGGGCCCTGGATGAGACACATATATTTGGAATCAGCTTTGAACGCTGATTTCAAATATGTTGTTCCTAGCTGCTTAGCACTACTCCGGAGCCAGTTATGGGCTTGCCGTTGTGAGTAATTAACAAATTCTGAATGTCGTAAGGCGTATACATAAGAATCTTCTCGAAAAAAAGTGCTAGGATGTTGAACTAGCATCAGATTAATCCTTTCGATTTTGGAAGCGAGCGTTATACAATTGCAAAACCACCTAGACCTCGACACCGTGTCATCCGTAGCTCGAGGAGCACGCAAACTTTGCATAGAAAAGAGACTATAACTCGCTTCAGAATAATGCTAAGCAGCTAAGAACAGCATATTTGGAATCAGCGTTCCAAGCTGATTTCAAATGTATGTGTATCATCTCAGTAGGCGAATCTAAGTCAGTATCCTTCCCTTGTAAGATATGAAGGCTGTATCGATGTCCGCTGACATCGTCGGACAACGGCCAAGAATCAATCTGCACAAGTGTCTAATAATATAATGAATTGGAGAATGTCTCATTTCTCAAGTTAGGAGGAATTTCCACATGCATACTGCTTGCGAAGACTTTGAATCTATGCAATTTGGACTTTTCCGAAGTCAAAGCTCAGTCTCTTTCCGAATATGGTTGTAAATCTGGTTGAGATCTTCCCGTGGGACGACTACTTCACACATTTTATTTTCAAAATCGTATTACTTTCTGTTTTATCTCATCTTATTTTATTTCAACTCACTTAGTGCTCTCTATTTCCTAATTGGAGCGGTTAGTAACAACCACAAGCAACATAGCACGGTTTGTCAAGCACGCATGAAAAGCACGTTTGTATCAATCGTTAGCATCTAAGTTGCAGGGATGTTCCTGGTGCGAGACGCTGGTGAACAACCGTCCTCGAAAGGAACGAATGGAAACATCGCTGGTACCTGTCGTACAACACGACGAACAACGGGGTTATAGGTGATACATGATTTATAAGCAAATCCGCTCCAACCCTAAGCAACTTTAGTCCATTCCATCTTTTTGCCATTTTTTTGTAAAACCCCTAAAACGCATTGGCTTTGAGGTAATTCTATTAGCTTCCATACTCAATTTCCGTTATCATTTCTAGTTACTTCTCCTACGAGGTGTTTGCTATCATTGTAGTCATGAATAAGTGATTATTAATTTCGTCGTTCATGCAAGTACTTTGATAAAGAATCTACAGAATGAAGTATTATGTAATTGCGCGTAAGTTCATGTTCACTCTCCACTTAACTTTCACAAGCTGTACACATGTCCAATACTCGTTGTCATAGCACGAAAAAGTACAACTCAAACATTTCCTGCTATATATCATACTCTATCATTGTTATGCACTTTTTACTTTTGAATGAACTTCACAATTGAAATCAGCATTAGAAAAGGCTTTAGTCATGCTATATACATGGTGTCCCAAAAAATTGTGAACACTGTTTGATTGTGCATAAGTCCCTTGCTTTCATGTCTTTTGCCGAGCTTGAGGCACCATTTTATAGAGCGAGGTTTAACTTAGTACAGTATGACCGCTCTTTATACTGTAGAATTACGGTATTAACTTCGACAAAAATTTTAGGCCGTTGGAGACCGTATTCTCCTCGGAACTAAACCAAACAAGCCAAAAACTCTTATACCATAGTAATGGAAGCCGCTGATTCCGAACATGAAATTTCCACTTTCCTGTTATGCTTCTTTCCAAGGCCCAGGTAAACCGTAATAACTGAATTTCCAGCATTTGTCAGAAATGTGAGTACACCGTCAAAGAAGCTAAAAGCACTTGTGAAAAGTTGTATAGTGGAATCAGCGTGCGCGCAAACCCTAGTCCATGATTTTTTAGATTTTCTGAAAAAAATTTTGCAAATGGCATATCTCATAATGGATCCACATGCTAGAATTTCATACCGTAATCCTACAGTAACGGAGAGAGATCGGTGATTCGCTCCATGCTACAAGTCTAAGCTGAACCTCGCTCTACAGAATAGTACCTCAAGCTCGGCGAAAGACATGAAAGCAACGGAGTTATTAACGAGCAAATAGTGTTAATAATTTATTTGGGACACCCTGTATTTATATCTCTACAAACAATATGTTAATAGTGAGATGAGTCATATACATCACTTCAAATTCTTAGGGTTGCTATATTATCGACCAAATCCCGAAGCAAGAATGTAAATGATTTTAGAAAAAAAGGCGATTGATGCTCACGAGGGAGCGGTCATGACATAACTTAATCCCTAACAATCTGTTTATTATCATACTTGCCTTGAAACGCTGATCTCAAGTATATACCTGTTTTCTGTTAGGCGAATTATGAGTCATGAGTTTTTGGATGTGAGAATACTTTGTTCCAATGAATAGAAATTGAAAAGACGACACAGGGCGCGAAAAGAAGAAGCATACCGAAATTTTAAATAAGTTATTGGAACATATTGGGGGAATACGCTCTACATAATAATTGACATCTTGCAGTTTCGGACGCTGAAAGCTCCCCTTAAATAGTAGCTTAGCAGATTACGAACATATATTTGAGATCAACTTCTAAAGGCGAATGCGACAAAATACAGCTTGCCTGGAATGGCTGGGTTAGGTCCAGACTACCTCCTCATCAGCATCCTCTGAAGCAAAAGCTTAATACGGAAAGATGTTCATTTTCAATTGACTCAAGTTTTTGTTCATATCTCAGGTCCATAACATTTGTTGGGAGCTCAAGCCGCCTCTAATTCTATTTAGAGATGGAAAGAAACAAGAAGAATCAATGGAGCAGGAGGTCATGTGTCTAACAAGCCTGCATCCTGGATCCTTAGAGTTATCAAAAGAAATTGTTTCAAACAGATTAATGCAGGACTTGATAGATATAATTTATAAACCTAGAGCCTTAATAGAAGACATAGACCCATTAGTAAACCTCCGTCTTTTTAGGTCAGCTCAAGCGAAACTACGTTGACGTTACGGCACCTCAGCACACTGCCAAGGAGCAATTGTTCGGATAATCCATACCCTACCATCGAATCATGTACAACGCTTCAATTGCTTTAACGGAGAAACTACACTGGATCTAGTGATGGAGTGGGGAAGAGGTTCACTTCATATTGAGAGGTTGAAGTTTCAAGTCCGGCCCAGCTTGAATTTCTTTGCGTAGCCTCAAAAAATTCATTTT